CGAAAAGGCTCAGCAGGCTCACATTAAGTCCTATGTGACCTGGATTTCAGAGGGGTGACCTTACACACAGAGGTACTTGAAACATCAGTGGATTTTGCTAGTGTCGTCTATAACAGATGGTTTGTACAAGCTGTAAAAATGACAGTGAAAAGCAATCTGCTTGTACACTATAAATGACTATAGAATTGGATCCGCTGCCAATACAACTCCCTGGGGTCAATTACACAATACACACCTTAGAGATATTACATTTCAAGTTAAGGTCCTGATTTTGTATACAATTTACACACAGATTTAAAACAGATGAAAAATAAACATTCATCATACATAACCAATAGAAGTACCGTATACTACGTAGTATTTAAAAAATGAAAATTATTCAACGAGCTTCTCTAAAACCAGAGTATGGTATGTGGCATAATGACCATCTTAAAGGCCCACTTCTGCAATTCCAGGGGTGCACGATTCCCATCGTCTGATGCCCGGGACTGTACAACCGCCCAGATCACTTGTAGTATCCTGGTTTCCAGGGTTTCCCACTCTTCAGGGGGACCTGGGACCACATAGATGACTTCAGGATGGAGAGCAGTTTGTTCCCAGATCTGCGCTGTGTGATCAGTGAGACAGGAGCACTGTACTCACAGCCTTCATGTCTCAGGTCTCACAAGCTGAGCTGCACAGAAGGGGGCAGGGGAGACATTGGGAGTCTCATATACCCCAGATATCTCCATAAGGAGAGCCTGTCACCTCCAAACACTATTACATAGGGCAGGGCTCAAAATTTCAAGTCCTGAGCTACTAGCCAGGCCTTAAGAGTTACTCGCCACCAGTCGCCCCACCTGACCCCTACCGTGCCCCGCCCTTAACTCCGCCAGGTCAGTGGTGTGACACAGAGAACAGAGATCAGTAACAATGCAGAGTGCAGAGGCCAGTGGTGTGATGCAGAGTACAGAGGCCAGCAGTGTAATGCAGAAAAAAGCAATGTATCCTCCATGTCCCAGGTGTCCTGCTTCTCC